CACTATCCGCAGTCCAATCCCACTCAAGGTACATTAATCCCATCCTATTCACACTATACTCGTATATACTCGAATACTGGCGTGTATGTAAAACTTATTTTGTAAGGCCGTATGTATGAGATCGAAAACGGGTTCATTCAAATCATGATTGTACATACATGCTGGGGATACGAGCAGACACATTGGAACGGTGAGAGGCTCAGCTAGAAGCTACGCAAGGTCGCGTCAAGGATGATGATGATGTTCTGTGCTACACGCGTCTGTCTACAGGTGTCATGTCACGTGACTCTCCGGAGCGGTGCCTCCGGCACCGTTCCAGGTGCCCCCCTTTTCTATGGCGGCGTCCCCGCCGCCTCAGCCCGTCGTCTCTGAGCGACCCTCTCTGCTATCGACCCTCCCTCACCCTCTTCCTCCCCCATCTGTCGCCCGTTTCCCCCTGTTGAGTAGAAAGCTGACACCATTGTAGGTTCTTCCTCGTCCTGCTCATCAGACCCTTCCAAAATCTGCTCCCCTCTTCCTCCCCTATTCCTCAGATTCTGTCCCCTCTTCTTCTGCCTCTTCTTCGTCGGGAATTGAACTGTCTCCTCCTTCTGCTGTCCCCTCCTCCCTGTCCTGATCCTCCCCAACTATGTCTGAGCTCTCCGAAATCCCTTCAAGTTTTGCTACCTCCTGCTGTGTCAGTTCTGTGCCTTCCCTTGGAACGAATATCCTCAGCCTCCTTGCGCTATACCACCCTGGTAGTCCGATGCCATCGAGGTCCTCTAATGCGTACGAATTGAGGCGCACACCTGTGATACGGCGAGGTGCTGACCACATTGGGGTGAGTTTGCGGTCGTTGCTAACGGTGGTAGTCAGATCGTTCCGATAGACTTGGACCAACTCGCCTTTCTTGAAGATTACAGGCTCTCCTTGCGTTCGCGATACTTTTCGATCGAACTTCTCCTTCCTCCGAACAGCATGCTTTACTGCTTCTGCGTAGCCGTCAAGACGTTGTCGAGCTGCATACAAGAAGTGAGTTTCAATATCTTGCGCATTAGGTATAGATGAACTCAGCGCCATTGGTGTTTTGGATGTGTTTACGACTGTGCCTAGCAGAATTTCTTTCGGCGAAAACTTGAGTGCTGGCAGGATCCTCCAATTAAGCATGCGGATTGCTTCTTCGAAGTGAACTGGCCAGTTTCGCGGTATTTGCTCCCACTCCATCGCTATCCATCCATCTTCGCCCAGATCTGGAGCGCAGAGCCTTGCGAGGACGTAAAGTAGAAGCTTGTTAGTGTTCTCGACAAGGCCGTTAACCCATGGTGAGTAGGGTGATGTTACTATGTGGTTGATCACCCACTTTTCGCATACCTTATCAACCTTCCCGTTGTCGAAGTGCTTACCACCATCCGACTGGAATGCTTCGGGTGGTACAAAATTCTGGCAAATATCGTTAATGGATTTTGTGGTAGTGTCCGCGTTACATACCTGGGACTTTGAACATATACCCCCAAATATGTTGCGAGCATGTGTCCAAGTACAGCCCAACCGTGTGATATCCACCCTTGCCCTCGGGCATGGATAGGTAGTCCCCAACTAAGAGCTCAAATGGGTGTCGTCGATTTATGGGCTGGAGAAGGGCATTCAGGTGTGGGGCGCCAAAGTTCTTGCATCTAGCACAGTTCGTGATTGCCTTCAGGATTGATTCATCAAGCCCTGGACTGTGGTATTGGTCGAGTAATGCGATCTTGACTGCATCTCGATGCCAATGGCCTCCCTTCTCATGCTGTTCCCTGGCCTTCTCCACTGCCTCCTTCCGGGAAATACATTCACGTCGTGCTCTTGCTCGTACCCCAGTTCCTCCCGCAATAAACCAGAGCTTGTTATCCTCGATCATGTACTGGGATGCCCTGTGTCGTGCACGAACACGATCTGGCAATGACTGGTGGTGATCGAGGTCTTGTAGGGCGCCAATAACCTGTAGATAAAGTGGTTCGTCCTTGAAACGTGCTTTGTGGTCAGTGTCCTGCATTTCTCGAGAAGCAATAAATAACATGTCGTTAACTGTGCCCTCCCTGGCTTCCCAGTCTGGGCACACAGTCCAGTCGCTTCCATCGCCGGCTGAGTAAGGCAGTCCTTCATATTGTCGACTCAGACCATCGGCTATATTCGTGACTCCTGGGATGTGGCGGACATCGACTATCCTGTGTGCTAGGACTCCATCGCGCCATCGTGCGTGTGTCGCTGAGAGTTTCTCCGATAAGAGTACATCTCGCAATGCCTGGCAGTCTGTTTCAACTTCTACGGGAAAGCCATAAAGAATGTCTGAGAACTTGTCGAAAGCAAATTTCAGTGCAGCAAAGTCTAAGAGGTAAGGTTTGTACTTCCTTTCCGAAGTGGATGTTCGTTTGGATGCAAAAGCTATTGGGTGGCGTTTCATGACTACCTTGTCATTGGGATCTTCTGGCATAGGACTCCCGCAAAGGCATCAACGCAACCATCTGTCGTGAGGATAAACGGGGTTCCGTCAAACCGAGGGGCCACAAGGACTGGCTCCGACAAAAGGAGCTGTTTGAGCCTCAGAAATGTTTGTGTGTGTTCTTCGGTCCATATATCCTTTAGCTTGTGTGCTTTCATCGCTCGACGCTCGTTGATATGTGCTCTTTTTTGCTCCTGCTGGGACATCCACATCACGGAGTATATCGCGAAGTGGTGCTTCAACTCGTGCATATCCTTGAACCAAGTCACGGAAATACGATGTCAGTCCTAAGAAGCCTTCCAAGTGAGATGCATCTTCGGGTATCGGCCAATTTACGATAGCACTCAGCTTGGTTGGATCAGGCGAAACTCCTCGTGGTCCCACAACCGATCCCACAAAGACTGCTTCCGTCATGAAGAGTCTCAGTTTGCTAGGGGATAGTGAGAGTTTCGTTCGAGAACAATACGTAGCTTAGCCATTCCTTCATCAAAATCATCCGCAGCTGATCCGGCGTCATCCACAAAGAGTTCGAACAAGCCTTTTGCTGTGAGGTCGTGGGTCTTGGCTGGTTCTCGAGGTTGGTTGGAGGTGGTCTTGGTGGCATATTGGGCATTGGTTCCATGCCGTGAGCTATGCATTCGTCATTAAGTTTGTGTTTCAGTTCATCAAGTGCAAGTCCACCCCCTTCATGCTCCTTCTGCGCTAAGACTGTTGGCGCTACGCATTGGACCTCACTTGGCTTGATAGGCTGAATGATGTCTGCTTCAACCATTTCATCCAGACTCTTTTCCAAATAGGCCCTTTGTGCTGGATTGTACGACCGTGACGGCGGTTTTAACGGTAGCTTGGCATTGGCCGGGACATTAAGCTCGTGCTCGTATCCAGGCACAGCGTTGACCTCGCTGAGCGCCAGGGCGAAACAGTCTGCAAACTCCGATATGAGCTCGCGAATCTGTTCACGTTGCGCATCTGTTGTGTCCGGGCCAATCCGTATGAGTCGCAGGATTTCCGCTATGCGTTCTGCTTTGAATGGGTCTGTTAGGGGTTATTGAAATCCTACCACCTGAACTAAGTTTCAAACCATCAGTTTCGGGAGCGGTATGAAAAGCTCCATGCCTCGAGGGCTATCCCCCAAAAGATGTCACGGGAAGTAGGGAAGAAACGGAATCGCAGTTTGCACTCTGATTCCGACTCCGAGCCCGAGCCTCAGGCTCCAGCAATGACACCCCTAACCCTCTCCGCCGCCACAGGCACGGCATAATGTGATTTTGCGCACGGTCTGCTGTGCGCCCCCGCCTTACCCCTTTGAAACTCTCCAAACTGCCTATTGCAAAGTGCACTGTCCTACAAATTCAACGACATCGCCCTCAGCCCTACTTCTCCCATGCAGGCACCCGACGATGGCTGATTGAGGGAGCCAGACTTCCATGTGATCATAAATCCTTGGGTGGGGTTATGCATAACAAGGTGTTCCTAGCCAAACGGTCTAGTGGACAGCAATGATTTGTGCTTGCGAGGTTTTGTGTTCGATCCCCGTTGATGATTATTTTTTTCTCGATGGCACATGACCTAAAAACCATACTTACTGAGGCTTTCTAGCTAATTCGAAGCCCCTTACTAGTGTACCTTTTCGACGTCACATAGTTGAGTATGAGACATGGCCTGTATTTAATATATGTGTATAACCATCCTTCAATCCGAATGTAACACTATGGCAGACTATAGCTCGTTGTTTGACTTGATGAATTGACAAGGTGTCCAGATTAGGACATGGCGCGCTCTGCTGAACACACGCATCGGGTGACTGGCGCAAGCCGATCTCTTTTCTGATGTGACAGTCCCAATTAAGAATTAAGGTTTGAGGCGAAATGTGATCAACTGCGGCGCTCCTGAGCCGCGTCACCGGATCTAGCGAACAGTGGGCTGCATGGTGATCTTCCGCTGTCGATAACGGCATCATCATTGTTGGTTTTTCCACTTTTTCGCTTACTTACCGAAAGGCTCCTTTAATTGCACCTTGCTCGCCAGTCGACGCCAAAGCCCAGGCTCATCAACAGAGGGTTGGCGTAGGTGGGCGTGACTCCAACGCCAGGGCGATCGGCAATCAATTAATACATAGCAACCAACCTTCCTTTGTTCCTCTTCACCGGACTTTCTTTCCCCCCTCTGCACCTCAATGCCGTCCTTGTGACGCTTCAAATTTTACAACAGCACGCTGCGCAATTCCTTGAAAAACTATAGTGACTTTTGTTCATCGAGCTCACCCACTATGGGCGCTATTCAAACATGATCACCCATACCGATATGTAATGTATGGTTCAGTAACGGAATCTATAGACTATAGAGCACGTAGAACGAGAGCGAACTCAGTACTGCCAAGTTCGCCCACAAAATTGTTAGATTTGGGTTGGTTCGACCTTCGGCTAGGTCTTGGAGTGGTGCTATATGTGACCATCTCTCACAGATTATAGATATGAGGCTGTGCATGTGGAATGTTAAGGTCACATGGGATCTAGTTCGAGCTGGTTGGGTTACCGGCAACGGTCCGGTAGCTCAGCTGGTTAGAGCGCTGCGTCTAGTCAACAAGTGGTCGTGGGTTCGATTCCCTCCTGGTCCAACACTTTTGGGTTTTGACAAAAATATCAAACTCGAAAGTGAAATGCTACTATTTTTGGATAAGATACCAATGTTGACCTCGAAATATCGCAATCTATAGACTTTATACCTCAAACTTGTTAAGTACCAACGCCGTATTTTTTTAACAATATATGTGCCATACCATACGGATCACCCACAGTTCGGCATAGGGGTGTAGGGAAATGTTATATGAATTCAAATTTCGCACCTAGGAGGTACAAATTGCCACCAATCCTCGGTTGGGATGGAGATCTATAATTCAAACATAAGTTCCAATAAAAGTACATAAAAAAAAGTTACCACAAATTTCCTTACTATCCACATTCAGATTTCATTTACAAGGTACAGAGTTACATCATGATATCATTCAAATGGAATCGATAAAGTACGTAGAAGGGACATAAGAGACACGGTATATCTCGAGGAACAATAGTGTAGACGAACATAAATGAACGGGAACGGAACATACAGCAGATGTCGGGTTGAGAGGATAGACGTGCCAGCAGCAGTTGGATGGGCGCAAGACAACACGTTCGGAAATATCATTACTACATCAGGTTTTTGTTTGATCAAAGCTGTGCTTTGTCACTGACCTCAAACCCTGTCTTGCCTGGCTGCCTCGTGCTGTGGTTGCTTCAACTCTGCTACTAACCATCGTCTCCTCTTCTTTCATGCCAGGGAACATTGAAGGGAATTTACATGCTGAGGTCATTAATGACTCTGGACATCAATCGATCTACAACGGCACTGTTGTTCAGAACTATGGTCACTCTGCTGGTCGCGCCAAATGTGCGTGCTAAGTACGATCTATAAGCCTTTCATCCTAACAATCCTCCCTAGTTATCGGCGAAGTACTTCGTCCAGTTCAAGGCGCTACGTATCAGGGGAGCAAGTTCCTTGCCCAATGCCACCAGGGCACTCGGAAAGATGTTATCAAAGCCCTCCAGGATTGGGTCGACCTTGATGGCCAACCACCGATTTGCTGGCTCAGCGGCCCTGCAGGCTATGGAAAATCGGCCATATCGCGTACCATCGCTGAAACCTACGACAACCAGAAGAGACTTCTCGGAAACGTCTTTTTCCGCCGCGGCTACGATGATAAGCAGCACATTGGCCGCTTAATCCCATCCCTTTCCCACCAACTCTATCATAACCTACCAAAATCTCAGGATTCGATTCACAGAGCCATCGATGCTGTGCGAGACATTAATACCCTGTCCCTCGAGGCTCAATTCAGAAAACTCATTATTGAACCTATTCAGGCGACGAGGAAGGGAATCGCGGCCTTAATTCCCCTCAGCCGACGAATCATTATTATCGATGCTCTTGACGAATGCGACGACAAGGATCAAATGAAGGCCTTCATTGACGCGATCATCCACATTTTTCAAACGAAACTCAAACTACACCTCCGGATCCTCATCACCAGTCGAGTAGAGGAGGTCGGGGCAAGGGAGATATCTCTTTTTACAGAGCGATAAGTACTACGATGAGCAGAACTGGGGAAACTTAGCGACTAGGCTGTTGAAAAACAGCACTACCTAGTTTCGTCTTTTAAAGACTCATCAGGCTTGTTT